TAATGTGGTCTATTGTATCCGCTGTTCCCATTGTGGCCTCCTCTACATTGGGGAAAGCAAGCGGAGGCTTGAAGACCGCTTTGTGGAGCACCCACGCTCGGTTTGTGACAAAAGGCTGCACCTCCCAGTCGCGAACCACTTCAACTCCCCCTCCCACTCCTTGGACAACATGTCCATCCTGGGCGTCCTCCAGTGCCACAACGATGCCACCTGAAGTCTGGAGGAACAGCACCTCATATTCCGCTTGGGAACCCTGCAGCCCAATGGTCTCAATGTGGACTTTACAAGCTTCAAAATCTCCCCACCCCCGACCTCATACCAAGACCAGCCCAGCTCGTCCCTGCTCCCTTGACCTGTCTGTCTTCCCTCCCTCCTCCCCACCACTCCCTCCTCACTGACCAATCCCCATCCCAACTCCCTACCTACACTCACCTTTACTGGCTTCATACCCGCCTCCTTGACCTGTCCGTCTTCTCTTCCACCTATCTGCTCCTCTATCCACCTTCTTTCATCGCCTCCCTCACTCTCTATTTATTTCAGAGCCCCCTTCCCCTTCCCCCATTTCTGAAGAAGGGTCCAGACGCGAAACATCAGCTTTCCTGCTCCTCTGATGCTGCCTGGCCTGCTGTGTTCATCCAGCTCTACACCTTGTTATCTAATTACTAGCGGTATTTGTGTAGTCACAGCAAATATGGTAAATACTGAGCCACCCATATTTGAGACTGTATGATTCACATTCATATATAATAAACTAACTCACATATAGTATTATCCCGAACCTAAGGCTAACTTTGTGATCCAAATGTGCAGTCTTGTGTGTTATTAGTACCTGCTATAAAATTGAATGCACACGCTACATTATTTTGCAACCAATTAAATCAATGGGAAAGAATGGGCAGCGTAGGACATCAGTTAGTTGAGGATAAGAATGCCTCTGCACCCTTGCCAGCTGCACTATGTAAGTCAAAAGCAAAAATATGGGATACTACATGGAGATGATGAACAGCAGAGCAAGAGAAAGAGATGTTACAGAGGTTCAACAGGAAAATTGTAGTGGGAGGCATGAGGGGAAATGTTGGAATGAGAATAGATTTTAGGAAGATGAAGGAGGATCAGGCTTAATGGAAGCAAAGGTGTGGGGTAATACATCAATGATTGGGTGAGGGATCAGGGGAAACAAACCATAGATGGTTTGTTTCCCTCACCACCTCTACCCTAAATGAACTGTGGCATTACCTTTCCTCAATACATCACACCGTACTGCTCACCTCCTCTTGTTTGGAAGGAAAGGAGAAACAGTGTAAGAATGAGAAGCACAATTGAATTGAATTAGGTTAACTGTCACATGTACTCATTTGGGTACAGTAAAAAGTTTACATGTCACCACTTACGATGCCACCTTAGGTATACAGGTACCCAGGTGCAGATTCTTGTGTACAAATAATTAGGAAAAAAAAATTAGAAAAATAAAGAAGTAAAAATTCCAGCATTGCAGAAATGCCAAAGTATAAAAGCATAGAAATAAATTAGAAAAATAAAGAAACAAAAAGCTCAGAACAACAGTGCCTCCACTATAATGTAAGAAAGAAAAAAAAATCAAAAGAAATGAGAATTTAAGACAAAGTCCACTTAGCCCATTTCACCATTCTGGGCTTGAGGACCCAATCCCCAGTTAGAATCCTGGGGACAGAGAGAGAAGCCCCACTTTCAAAACTTTGTGGGAAGCGTTTTTTTTAAAGTTACAGGATGCAGGAATAATTCTACCTATTAGGGCTCACTGTAAGATGCTTCACCCCGGTAGATTACAGGTCAATATCAAGAAGGAAAACGAATAAAACTACATGATTGGGAAATTAGCCATTCAATATCCTTAGAATTGATCCCTTTACTTTGAGCTGGGTCTAGCAAGAATCCTTAATATTGTAAATATTAGACAAAGAGTAATTCTGTGAGTTACACACCCAATGGTGTGAGCGCGCAGTAAAACATAGACTAATCCTGATTTATCCTTCTCAAAGAGCCAAAAACTACTCAGCCACAATTTAATTGCAGACTGTGCAATTTTTTCTGTGAACAGGAGAGAATACAAGCTTTATATTTTTATTATTGCCTGAGGATGTGAATCTAATAATAAGCAGTATGAAGGCACAAAGAAAAATTCAGTAGGGAGCACAGGAAAAAGAATGTGAATACCAAAACCATGGCAATAAGTACATGGTCACATACTCAAAGAACTTGGAGGAGTATCAAGGAAAATAATCTGACCTTAGGAAAAGAGCTGAGATGAGAAAAAGTAGGATTTAATAAATATAGGCTGTCATGCGTATTGAAGCAACCATGAAAAGAAAAATAAAGGTTGCGATCTTAGACTTAATAGTAAATAGTACACCACTGAAACGGACCATTCAGCCCAACAGGTCCATTCTGGTAATCATGTTTCATACAGTCCTCGTCTTATTTCATCACCTTACCTCTATCAATATATCCTTTTAGTACTTTCTGCCTGACCTGTCTATCTGGCTCCCCCTCAAAAGCATCTTTGCCACCCACCTCACCCATTCCATATGGTAACAACAACTTATGACTCTTCAAGTAAAGATATTTCTCCTGAATTCCCTCTTAGATTTTTTTAGTGACCATCTTATGTTTATGGTCATAGTTTCCTTCACAAATGGAAACAACTTCACTGTGTTTACTCTCCTATTTAACCAACATCAAGATGGTGGATTTGGTCTGTGCACCATGAAGGCAGCACGGTCGCTCAGTGGTTAGCGCCTCACAGCGCCTGGGACCTGAGTTCGATTCCACCCTTGGGTGACTATCTGTGTGGAGTTTGTACGTTATTCTCTTGTCTGTGTGGGTTTCCTCCCACAGTCCAAAGATGTGCAGGTTAGGTAGATTACCTGTGGTAAATTGCCCATAAGTGTCTAGGGATGTGCAAGGTAGATGGATTAGGAAATTGGGGCAACAGGAATTGGGTGGGTGTTAGTGGGATGCTCTTTGGAGGGTTGGGGTGGACCGGTTGGTCTGAATGTCTGCTTCCACACTGTAGGGATTATACATGGAAAAATTATGTGTGCACTCCTTTTAACCGGGTTTTCAATTTCATAACACAAATGCTGGCCTCCTGTGGGTTACAGTCCACGAACATTGACTGTTCCTTCATTATTATAAACAGCTGCATTCATCAGAACTGAGCGTATGGTTGCAAGTGGAGCCACCTCTGCTTTCATTCAACTGGAAACCCGTCTTGGTGAAACCATGGCTAATCAAAGTGGCGATGCCATTATAACCACAAGCCTGCCTTTGAAAGCAGTTGCAATAGTCACCCTTCTGCCTTTTGGGAATGGATTTGTTTCTGCAAACACTATTGAGTCAGTTGGAACCAAAACTACTGAAGCAACTGTTGCAGGAGGTGCATTTGCCCAACCAGAACAGCCATCTGTGAATCAGGGTATTGCCAAGTTGAAAGCCGAGAAAGGGAAGTCGGTGGTTTTACCATGCTGGTATCTTAGTGATGGTACTTCCTTAAGCCAAGTCTCTGTATTGTGGTACAAAGAAGACACCTCTGAGAAGTTCAATCTTGTAAGAGACAACACAACAGCCTCGGGCGACTACTCTGGTCGAGTGTTTTTAAGTGGACATCTATCTAGTGGGGATGCTTCCTTGACAATTCTGAATGTAACTGAGAGGGATGATGGCACTTACTTCTGTACTGTAATCCTTAATAATGGGACAACTCTAAGTGGCGATGGTACGCACCTCATGGTGAAATCAAGAGCAGGTAAATTTATATTGTAGTCCTTCAAAAGCTAAACAATGCTGATATTTTCCTTTGAAAATAATGAACTCCTTTATAGTTAATAATGCAACTTTATGTAATTAAATTCCTCATGGCCTCCCATATTTCTGTAACCTCCTCTAGTATCATGGACTGTGGCCCTTAGTTTATTTTCTTGTAATTTATGAATTTGTCAAAAAAAAGTTAATGTTCATAATTTCTAATTCAAAATTAACATCATACATTACTTTTGGGTGATGCGGTGGCTCAGTTGTTAGCACTGCTGTCTCACAGCGACAGGGACCTGGGTTCGATTCCAGCCTCGGGCAACTGGTTATGTGGAGTTTGCACATTCTCCCCATTTCTGCGTGGGATTCCTCCGGGTGCTCCAGTTTCCTCCCACAGTCCAAAGATTGGTTAGGTGGATTGGCTACGCTAAATTGCCTCTAGTGTCCGGGTATGTGCAGGCTAGGTGGATTAGCAATGGGAAATACAGGGTTACTGGGTTGGGTGGATCTGGGTGGGATGCTCTTCAGAGGGTCAGTGTTGGCTTGATGGGCTGAATGGCCTGCTTCCACACTGTAGGGATTCTATGATTACAGTTTTAGTATTTTGAATATGTTATATTTAAATAATTAATTCTTAGTACACAATAATTGTTTGTGTAGTATTGAAATTAAACTGATTGTGTTGATAGCAGAAATGGAACTTATACATGCCCATTCAGATAAAGAGATACAAATCCCACTTACATGTTCAAACTGGCATCAAAGTAAATTTGGTCAATTATGGAGACCTTCCTTCACCAACAAAAGTTGTAGCAGAAATTTTCAATTTTCAGTGTTAAAAATAGGGGTAAATAAGTTCAAAATGATTCACTAGCAGACTAATCAATGTTAACATTGAATCAAAGAAGATATGGTGGAAGGGTCAATGGCTTGTTTTAAGGTGGCCTTAAAAAGAGAAAGGAGATATTGGGGCAGAGAGTTTTAAAGAAGAAATTACAGATCATTGAAGGCCAATGCGGGTCAAAAGTGAAAAGAAATGTACAAAAAGCCAACTATGTTACTATGTGCTTAATGAGTAACATGCTATTTTTCTGATTAAGCTGTATATTTTTCATCTTATTCACTTCTAGGACTTTTTGGTTTAAAAGAATCTTTAGGAAGCACCATTGCAATTGTTGCAGCAAGTACTGGTGTCTTTATTGGACTTATGGTGTCCTTTGTGCCAAACTTAAGAAAAAAAATGTCATGTCAAAAGTTAGAGCAAGGTATGTTAAGTTTGCACTGTACTGATTCAATCATCCAGTGAAACCGAGATCTAAAACATCAACTTGAAAGATTGGCTTACAAGAGGAGGCACCAGCTTTAACTTTGCCGTGTCACATGTCAATTGGATAATGTCACCCAAGCAATTTTTTTTTCAGTGGGCTAATCTACTACTGAGATTAATTTGCCAATAGAACACTTACAGAACCACTGAAAAAAAAAATGAAAGGTTCTAAATGGCACAACACAATATAATGCATTTGGAGCAGCTTGTCAGGGGATAATTGAAAACTGGCCTAAGAATTCTCTGTGGGGTTTTGTAGATTTTGACACAAATATAGAGGGCATAATTTTATGGTGAGAGGAGTAAGATTTAAAAGGGGCCTGAGGGACAACCTTTTCACACAGAGGGTGGTTCATATGTGAAGTGAGCTGCCAGAGGAAGTGGTAGATCAGATCCAGTTACAACATTTAAAAGACATTTGGACAGGTACATGGATAGGAAAGGTTTAGAGGGATATGGGCCAAATGCAGGCAAATGGGACTAGTTTAGTTTAGGATACCTGGTCAGCATGGACAAGTTGGACTGAAGGGTCTGTTTCATGCTGTATGACTCCATAAATGCTTCTCAGCTGGAGAAATGTGAAAAATTCAAGGCATATTACTGCAGGTTAGATGTAAAAAAAACTCTTAAAAAGCACATTTGTCACAATATTCCCGGTGCTGAGGGACTTGTGTTGAGAGTAGAGGGTGGAAAATTTAAGATTGTTCTCATAGAGTCATAGTGTCATGCAGCATAGAAACAGGTCCTTTGGCCCAGCCCTTGAAACAGAGAAGGTAATGAGGTCACCTAATGGAGATTTTCATGATGGTAAAAGACAAGAGAGACTGGCCAGTAGGTCCATAACCAGAGATCTTAGATTCAATATCAGTGGCAACAGATCTAAAGATCGGATGAGGAGAAACATTTTGAAAACATAGGAACACAATTAGGCTAGTCAACTATTTCAGCCTGCTTAACCATTTAATTCAATCATAGCCGATTGAACACATCAAATGACTGTTACCCACAGTATCCTATATCTGTTTATACCATTGATAATTAGAAATCCATCAACCTTTACTTTAATTATTTCCAAGACTGATCTTCCACAGCCCTTTGGGGTAAAAATTTCCAAAGATTCACAATGCTCTGAGCAAAAAAAAAGTCCACATCTCCATCCTAAATGGCATCCCCTATATTTTTTAAATTGTGATCCCTCGTTTTAGGCTCCCTGGTTCCAGACTCCCGAAGACCTCAAAGGGAAATATCCTCATCTACTTTGTTTATCCCTTTCAGTAATCTTTAGGTTTTAGTAGGATTTTCACTTAGGAAATTGTCAGGATCTGAAATGCTCAACCTGGAAAGGTGATGGAACCTGATTCAATTATATTTAAAAGGGACCAAAAACAAAAAATGCTGGAGGTCACAGCAGGTCAGGCAGCATCCATGAAGAAAAAGCAAGCTAATATTTTGAGTCTAGATGACTCTTCATCAGAGTCGTCTTGGCTTGAAACTTTAGCTTGCTTTCTCTCCATAGACGCTGCCTGATCCACTGTGATCTCCAGTATTTTTTGTTTTCAGCACAGATTCCAGCATCTGCAGAAATTTGTTCTTGTATTTAAGAGGGAGTCGGACAGGCACTTGAGAATTTAAACTTACAGGTTTGCAGACAAAAAGCAGAAAATATGGGACTAAACAGATTTCTCTTTCAAAGAACCAACACAGACAAGGCTGGACAAATAATTTCCTTCTGTTCAGCAATTTTCAATGGTTCCTATTGAAAGAGATATCAATGGTCTTGTACATTAGACAAATACAGAGCATTATTTTTGTTTTCAATTATACTGTAGTTTTCCGTTAAGATTCAGCCAATGTGAATACAACCTTAATATAATTATGACTTTAAAAGACTAAATCATGAAAATGATCACATGAATGTTGGTGAGGATCATAAATATATACATTTGGTAATTCCCCCCTTTGTTTGATACTATAAGCATTAAATTTCTATCTTATTTGATGAAATTGATTCCTAATCAAAGACAAGGAATTGGGTTTTCACAGCTGAGATGACAAACACAGAAATTTTGAAGTTTCCAAAGAACATTGGTCAGGAAAATCTTTGGAGCTTTTCCCTCTCTATCACTATCATTTTACCTAAGGTCCAGCAGACACTGGGCTTACATGTGCAAAATGCTTTAAGAGAACACACAACCATGGCTTCCATTTTGAAAATAATTAATTACCCATTTTTTAAAGTTATAGACAAACCCAACAAGGGTCCATATCTGCAACATTATGAATAGTTCAGGGTTTTTTTTTGTCAGGATGCAAGTTTAGGAATGAAAACTATCTTTCCCAGTGATAGGGAAGGTGAGGAATGAAATGCATTTGTGTGCTCTACTATAAGGGGATAAAAGGCGGCTGAATCAGTGAAGTAATCTAGGGGGTTGTTTTAATCTAACACGCTGGTAAGGGCATTAAAAACAACATTTTGCTCAATCATGTCAGTTCCCTTCTGGTCCAGGGATAGGGACAGTACCACTGCACCACAAGAGACCCACCTGGAAGAAAGTGTAACACATTCATGACAATGTCAGACACATGTTCCAATAGAAGCGGCACTATTGAGACGCAGACTTCAATTGCCAGAAATGACAGGAATGCTTAATCCCCCGGTTAATCACATCGGAACTATTCATTTAATTGCCTCATTCTGTTGGAGTTGAAGAATAACTTGACATGTGGTCCTTATCAAATTTTTTTAGTGTCAAAATGGCTGGCAGATATGGCCACTTGGTGGCCAAACTGACATTGCACTGGCACACACCAGTCCCCACCCCCAGCCTCCATCCTCACTTCCCTTGACCACCCTGCTCTGTTTGGTCCCTCAATCACAGCTTCATTTGACAGTGACCTCATAGGCACTGCATCTGCATGGACAGTAAGCGTGGTCCTGCAATTATGGTGGTAATAAATACAGCCAATTTTTAATGAAAGTCGGGTGACATTTTACTGCATAGAATACAGGTTTGGGTATAGGCAGATGATGTAGGTAAACACAGTGTTATTAGAATTCCTCCTTCGTGACTATACATGCTGTGTCTGGTATCTTTATGTTGCCCTTCTGGGCTCTTATATGGTAGTATCAGATGCAAACAATTTTTATTTTGTTTTTCTTCTACAGCTCAAGTTGCTCCAGCTTAGTTTGCAAATGAACAATGTCGATGCACTGTGAATTATATGATGATGGATATTTTTAAATTCACCTTCCTGAAGAGATTTCTACAAATACCTGAATACATTGATGTCAAATTTAATGTCAGTTTTATTTTCTTGAATAAAAAAGCTAAAGTAACCATAATCCACTGGACTGTGGGAATGTTTGCTCATTAGAGAGAAAGAGAGAGAGAAACAGCTCAAGATGGCGGTTTAACCTGAGGGTCACCGCACCATAGGTGAGGGGAGAGATTGAGAATTTTTCATCATAATCTCAACCTGTGCGAGAATTGAACCCATGCTGATGGATGTCACTATACATTGCAAACCAGCCACCAGATAACTGAGGAAACCAAAACCCTTTCATGTGTAACTAAGTACAGAAATAAGAGTGACAATTAAGCATTGCATGTTTAGACTTTTATTCTGCATGCAACATTTATACCTGATGTGATGGTGGCTATTGCCTCTCAAAATGAAACATGTTATACTTTACAGCTATTTTTGACTTGGGATATTGGATTGACAACTATGTGGACCTTAGCTCATCCATTCTCATCACACTCATGTTATCTCAATCTTTTTTTCATGGATTATGAAAACTGCTGTTGCCAGTGTCGCTTTCACTGAGCTATAATATTCATTGGAATTTGATTTTTATTCTTAAGTCCTCCGAGAGAAGCACAGATTTCATTATGGAAAAGGTGAGTTGTCTGCTTTACAACCAAGTGAGTCACTGGGCTGTTTCTAAGGGCAGATACAAGTCAACCAGTTTACTGAAGTCTGGAGTCACATGTAGGCCAGAGCCAGTATGCAGATTCCTCCCTCAAGGACTAAGTCAACCAGATGGATTTTTCTAACAATCCAGTAGGTATGGGGTCACCATTATCAACACTAGCTTTTATTCCAGGTTTATTTAAGTGACTGCATTTAAGTTTCCCAGCTGCTGTGTTTGGAGCTGTCCCCATCACTGGATTACTATTCTCACAGCACACTGTTACTGTTCCATTATGGAGTATACTGAGATGATTTAACTTAATTAATAGCAAGTAATATTTTTCCAGTTTACCAGTAATAGAGCCACTCTAAGACAGACAATCAAATCCTGGCACAAGAAGGAGGCCCCATATACAGTAGAGATAGACCACGTGTTTGTACAGGAGCTGGGGCATGACAGAAGTTCATACATCTGCACACCATGGGATGTCTTCCTTTCACATCTTTCCAAGTAAGTGCCTTTGCAAATCACATTTTATTTCATCTTACATTGCTGATTATTCATATCTCATGTACCAATTTGAAAATGACAGTTCTTTCCCTAAGTTGGAGTCATTCTGACAGGCTTCTACACAGACAGATGTCCCTCTTGAGCACCAGGGTGCCAGCTCCAACATCTAGGTCATCACTTGAGGAACAATATAATACCAACGATTTCCCATGTTATGAAACATATGCCTATTGTGTAGCTGAATGGTGCATAAGGAATAAATAATAAACACAAGGTCTCTCTTTATATCTTGTTCACTGAATCATCAGTATAATGAAAAAAGATGCTGGATGCTGAGTGGTCCTTGAGAAAGGAGGCTCATTATTTTGCACAGTAGTAACTACATATTTTAACCATTACTGGAGCTGGGCCAGTGAGAAATAAGAGTTATAAAACCAATCCACACCAACCATGTTCCCAAACTAAATTTACCCATCTGCATGCGCTTAGCTCATAGCCCTCCAAATCTTTCCTACTCATGAACTTATCCAAATATCTTTTAAACATTGTGATTGTATCTGCATCCACCGCTCTCCTCTGTATTAAAACAAAGTTACCCCATGTCCTTTTTAAATCTTTCTACTCTCTTATTTGACGTTAAGCTGCAATTAACCCTTTTACTCCCTATTATAAGAGCAAAGTACTGCAGGTGCTAGAAATCAGAAAGAGTTGGAGCAACTCAGGGCTGGTAGCATCTATGGAGAGGAAAACTGTCTATGTTTTAAATCCAGTATGACTCCTTTTCACCTATAATCAGCAGCTCTTCCTCTCTTCACAGATGCTGTCAGACTTGCTGAGCTTCCCTTGCATTTTGTGTTTTTATTTGAATGTGCCTATAGTTCTGCCTTCAACAATCTATGCTTGGCATTACATCTCCTACTACACCTCTCATCATTGCTATATTGCACGGAAGGGCAACAATTTACTGCCATCCAATCAGCTCGATCTACATAATTGAGGTGCATTGCAGAAAACCTCAGTTATAAAGGCAGATAAGTCCCTAATACAAATGCACTCATCAGAGTAAGTCCCATTATTTAGTAACATGTGTTGATCACTCTGTAGAGCTTTGTATGGTGTTTAATTTGAAAGACCAAACTCCCAAAGAACAGTATAACCAAATAGTCATTGGGAAAACGTTAAGGTCCGTTATAAAGGGTGTGACAGCAGAGCATTTAGAAATACATAATATAATCAAGCAGATTTAACACAACTTCATGAAGGAGAAATCATGCCTGACATGATAAAATTTTCTTTGTAGTCTTAACAAGGATAGGTAAAGGGGAACCAGTAGATGTAACATATTTGGATTTCCAAAAAAGTGATAAGGTGCTTGATAAGGCAACCAAATAAAAGACTGAGTAGTATATTAACATGGGTAGAGGATCAGTTAACTAATGGAGGGCAATTTTGATAAAGGGGATATTTTCAGGTTGTAACCTGTAACTAGTGGAGTTCCATAGAAATCAGTGCTAAGGTCACAATTATTTACAATATCATGATTCGGATTATGGAATGAGTATATTATTAAGTTTGTGGATGACACAAAATAGGTGGGAAGGCAAGTAGTGAGCCTTACAGAAACTACAGAGATTTACAGAGAACTGTCTACAGAGTTTAATTGAACAGACAAAAACTTGGGAGATGGAATAAATAAGAAAATTAGGCTATGCACTTTGGCAGAAAGAATAGAGAAGCTGGATATTGCTTAAATAGAGAGACTTCAAAGCTACAGCACAGGAATTTGGGGGTTCTTGTGTATGAAGCACAAAAAATAAACTACCATCCAAGTTCAGCAAGTAATTGGGGAAGTGTAATGAATGTTGCCCTTTATTTCAAAAGGGAATGGAATATGAAAATATTTTGCTAAGGTTTTACTAAAGATACAAGGAACTAGTTGGACCATACCTAAGAAAAATTGTGAAGAGCTTTGGTCCCCTTGTCTAAGCAAAGATATACAAGAATTGGAGGATGTCCAGAGAAGGTAAACTTGGGTTAGGCCAGGCACGGAGGGATTTTTTTTAGACAGAGAGAGGTTAAGTACATTGGGCTTGTAGTCATTGGAGTTTAGAAGAATGAGATGTGACCTTATTGAAACACATTTGAAGTTCCTTAAGGGGGCTGGACAAAGTAATTGCAGAGGTTGCTTTCCCCTTGTGGGGGAGAAAAGGAACAAAGGGCATATCCTCTGAATAAGGGTTGTCTATTTAAGACAGATGGAGGATATTCTTTTCTCAGACGGTCGTGAATCTGATTCTTTACCACAAAAGGCTGTTGAGGCTGCATTGTTCAGTATGTTTAAGGCTGGGATAGACAGGTTTTTAAAATCAGTAAGGTAATTGAAGAGAATGGAAAAAGGCAGGAAAGTGGCTGCTCCACCATTCAATGTGCTGACTAGCCCACTTCTGCTTCTATACCTTAATTATCACCTCGTGTGGCATCAAACAGCATGTAATACTTTCAGCTGCAACTGAGATTTTACTGAACCTTTGAGATGATTCAAATATAAATAGTAGAGACCCAAGGGTCAATTTCTAGGGCACTTGAAATATCACCACTGATCACTGGACATCACTGCAACTTTATTAGTTATTTTTATAATTTGCACAATGACTGAACAAATATGAAAACTGTAACCATTTGTGCACACAAATCATTTACCGAAAAGTGAAATTTACCATCAAAACTGGAAAAATACAACTTGAATTATTGCCTTACATTAATCACAATGTACAGTTGCATCCCTACTTTAATTCCCAATATATTCCAATACCTTTTACAGCAAGATAATTACACCCACAGTTCATTGTAAATTGCTGCATTACAAGGCTTTTAACATGAATTTGATCAGAGGGAATGCCCATTTCCACAGAGCTGGAAGCAGAATTACACACATTTACTGCATATGAAACTGTTATTTGAAGAAACCATCGAACACGTTCCAGATGTGTAGAATGTTTTTCATTTGCTGCAGATCGTCATATCTCAAGATGCTTGTTTTTTTTGTTAAAGCTGTAACATTCCAGGCACTGGTAAGCAGAGACCAGGCAGATTTCCATTGCCTTGCTTTCTTTGAATAATTTTCAGACATTTGAATAATTTCAAACAATCTTTTATTTTTGGGATGAAACGCTGTTTGAAAGTGCTAAGGATCAAATTCAAAATAATTTACAAAACAGAATTAAACATTGCCTTTGCTATTTCTCAGTCAAAATGGACTATGTATATTTGTGGTTTAAAGCTAGTTAAGTAAATTACTGCATCTGACAAACTGAACATGGTCAGACTCCTCCAATGAAGTTTAATCAAAAATAATGTAGACTACTTTCCAATTTTCACAAGTACTAAATTGTGCAATACCTGTATTTTAAAGTTGGTTCAAGGGGAAAAACCAGCTTGCTTTAATCTATAATTGCCAGCTCAAAATAGTCACAATCAGAATGAATACCAAAGAATTTAGAAATGTCAAACATGGATAAACCCAACAGATTTACAACAACGCCCTAAATTAGGTTTGATAATTTATTTAACTGGGACAAGTCTTAGTGCATTGCCATGGCCTTAAGCATAGAAGATGCAAATAATTATGATAGTAAGCCTTCTACGCTTAGTGTAGGAAAATGAGATTTCAAAAAGGTTAAATACATTCTAAAATGTACTAAACATTAACACTATATTAATGCACTATTAAGCATTAGTGAATATTTTCAAATCGAAACTAAACTGTACTTTCCTTGATCCAGGAACTGTACTGGACATGGCTTTGTTATATTCTGGTTTTTCCTAGAGACTACTGCTTCATATTTAAAAATTTCACCCAATCTCCTCTAGCATATTCCCACCAACAATCATAACCACATTATGGGCAGCATAATGAGAAGTTTAAAAAAGAAATGAGCCAAATGGAATATGAAATAAGTTGTAAAGCTAAGCAATCCATTACCATCCAGGGTCAACAGTTGCACCCCCATGGGAACTGAAAAATTTTAATTACACACGCTCAATATTTTAAATCACAGCTAACTAAAATAGTAATGCAATTAAGATTTTAACTTTATACACATTTCTGACAGCAGCTAAATCGGTGAACTCACATTAGACAAACTAGTAGTGCAAACTAGGCAATCTAAACTCCTGGAAGGCAACTTGGGCCAGTTAATGAAATATCCCGTAACAGGACTGGAGATCCTGCAAAAATACGAATAGACAAGCGAGGTCATTGATATCCCACAATGCCATGTGCCTGGAACACAGCAATCACACTTCACGAAGCAGAATTGATTTGGGGAAGAGAAAATGTCAACTTTTGGGGTAAGGATTGGAGACATGCTCTTGGCAGCTGCACAAAGATAGAGGCCAAAACAGGTATTAAAAAAACCTGTTGAAACATCACTCACCCAGTGTTTGAACTGGTAACACTGCCAGGTACCCCATACCATGTAAAGCTTCTGATTATTTCAAACCCTCTCCCCCGACCCATCTTTCTGGATTTTAAATCTCTCATGAACATTTTCCTCATTTATAACCTTAGTTCCATTACATTCTTCCTCACTGCGACAGTTTTCCCGTCACTTCATTGTTTCAGTTTGTCTGCCCAGATCATTAATCTCTACATAACTTTTCACATCTTAACTATTTTTTAAAGCAGGAAGGCAAAACTAAAATGGATGTTAAGCACATTTCCAACCAACTGTACTTTTTAAAGTGACTTGGGTTCGTACACTGCAATCCCAATCTGGTGCAGTACCCAGCACAGATGGCATTCTGAATTTCCCCCTTCTGCACAAACCACCTGGTCTGGAATCAGTTTCCAACAAAAGCAAACTTATTACAAACTCATATACCAATCCTTTAAAATCACAGGTTGGCTTTCCTCTACAATGACAGCCATGACTTTGGCTCACTGACTTCATATAGATGAACGTACTTGCTTTCTACTGCAAACTTTCCAAAGGATCCAAGTTTAGAAAATTTTTAGAAAGCAGTTAGTCTGAGTTTTACACCCACATCAAAACAGAGATTTCAAGATGTGGGCAGGGCTAGGACAGAAAGCCAAATCAAGAGCTTTGTGCACAACTGTGCAAAAGCTTGCTTCACCCATACCCCACAGCCTTTAGCTAATGTGGGACAAAATATTCCTGGCTTTGTTGCAAAGTTTGCAGCTGGTATTGCAAGGATTGCTTCAGCTCTATTCTACACTAATGAAAAACCTAACAATGTTAACCAAAACTTCTAAGCTAAAGTTTGCATGCATGTCATCAGTGTCCATCAGCACCAGTGCTGGCGATACTGTTAAGACTGGAGTGTGTATTGTTGCAACCCCCCTTTCCCCATGGTAGCTGTGCTCTGGCAAAGTCATGAGAGTTTCTTCACATACCAAAAATCATTTCAAACTTGACACCATATTTCATGCCAGAACAGAATTCCTTCCGAATGCTTTGGATTCAGTTGATGAGAATCCAAGGATAAGGCTAAAGCTTAAATGATTACAATAGTGCAGGTAGCTATAATTAATATATACAGACGTCAATATACACATGGACACCTTAATGCGTATTTGCCATTGACTTACATTTAAAAAAATAAAGCAAGGTGGTCACATTTGTTTCTGCAGTGGTTTAAAAATGAACTTGACCTGTTAGTGGCAGAAAACTAAGGGTGTACAATACCAGTTATGGCAGAGACACAATACTGACATTTGTTTTCATGACTGCTAAGTAGATCCCACACTTCTAGAAAGACATTCCAAATAAACTAGACTTATCAAACTTTGTTGGAATGGTGAGCCAATGACTGTACATCAAATACATCAAAACAGTTAAGACGTTATATGTAGAAAAGGAATGTGAGAAAACTAAAAGCAAAAAAAAAAGCTATAAATACTGGGCAAACTGGGTTTTGTTTTGTAGTTTCTCAGAAACGACTAGTTTTAGTCTTCTAGAGAACGGAATGCAGTCTGCATGTCTTCAAAGAGTTGCAAGTAGTCTGCTTTGATTTTTGCCTCTCCATCCTTCACTGGGTCCTGGAAGGAAAATATAGTCAGATCAATATATCATTGCAATAAGCAAGGTCAGGTTTAATACCTCATTCAGTGCACATTTAATAATCACTATCTTGGAGTATGCCTCATGATTATGGACTGTGCAATTCCAAATTATTTGTTTAAACAGTTGACAAGCAGGAAACAAGCAAACAGCTCAAAACTTCATGTTAGAACATGCCAGCTTTGATTTTACATATACTACAGCCTGAGTAACTTCTCTCTTGATTACCGCAAACCTGCCACACATAGCTCTTCTCAGAAACATTGCTGCAGACAGCCCATAAAATAAAACAGTGAAATGCAGCTGTTTTTGCCTTTGAAAGCATATGCTATTGCTCAATGTGAAAGCATCTGACCTTCGTTGAATTCTGCCAGGCTTCCACATTTTTACATAATACAAGATTTCAAACAACATGCATCAGTATATTGAATGGGTAACCTATTTAGCTGCACCTCATACCTGTTAGAATTTCATGAAAAACAAAAGTTTCATAGCGAAAACAGCAGGTTTACACACACTCTGCCAAGACTATTCAGGCACACATTTGTCCATTATTTGGTATTAAAAATGTTGGGTTAAATAATTGGAATGGTCAAAAGCACCAACTAGGACAGTTTAGGCCTTTGGTTGAAGTTTAATTCCTCTCTAAGTAAAGCGAGATAAATGTAACGAAATAAAGCAACCAAGGCGACAGCATTGATGATGAGTTGATCTGCACACTTCACTGAGAATGCTGAACTAGATCCACACCTGCCTGTGGGAGCGCTTCATATTCCATGTACTTCTTGACACTGAAAGGATTCTAATTTTGATGGGACATTGAAGTTATGCAAATTTTGAATTATGGATGCTTCTAGGATTATATTGGAAAACTATATCCACTGAAGGATCAAACTATTACTAAGATTGACATCCAATACTACTGCTGATTCAACAAATCCACTGGGTGGGGTTTGACTCCAGCTCAAAATAATAGAAGAATCTTCTGCGTCTCTTGGATGCAACAGCTTACAAAAAAAAAGTTAGGCTCTCTTTGACTAACTTTAATAGGAAACAGGCCCAAATTAAGACACTGATTCAATTTTTACAAGGAAGCTGCTGGACAGCTGGTGTGGAAAATGTTACAATATCAGGTTCATAAAGGTATAACGAATCATGAGTGAAGGGTGTTGAAGGCAAGAAGAGGCATGATGTTATTCGAATTACATGGTCTTTTACTTCATGCTTGATTGTGCAATGTATAACTTGCATACTTGGAGAGGATTTGAAAGCTATAATTGGGAAGTGTCCTATATTCCTTGTACCCCCAAAAAATTCCCAATCTGTCCAAGAAATATCACATTTTCAGGCACTGCAACTCCTCTTAATCAGTTTCAAAGGTGGCAAGGAGTCAACATGCAAACTTAATGCAAATACAAGATGAAGAAATAAGTTTTAAAAAATACTTTGAAAAATCAACAGGGATCACTGGACAAACTTTTCACTGTTTTGTGTCATTGACCAATATAGATATTGGTGAACCATTCACATTAGATTATAGCAATTAACAGCAGCCGTGGCCCATAACTTAAACAGATGACAAAACAGACAATGTTAAGACAGTTGACCAGGTTCTGCATGGTAGACTGGTTAGCAACATTAGATTACACGGGATACAGGGAGAACTGCCATTTGGATACGCAACTGACCTGAAGGTAGGAGACAGAGGGTGGTGATGGAGGGTTGCTTTTCAGACTGGAGGCCTGCGTACAGCAGTTACCCCATTGAAACTGATTAAGAGCAGCTGCAATGCCTGAAAGTGTGGTATTTCTCAGACAGATTGGTAACTTTTTGGGGGTGTGAAGAATATATTCATTCCCATTTCTAGCTTTTAAATCATTTCCAAATATGTGCAATGTGTAGTTTGCAATCAATCACGAAGTAAAAAAACCCTGAAATCAGAATAAAACTGGCTATAGGCATTGGTGCTGGGTCTGCTGCTTTTTGTCATTTATATAAATGATTTGGATGTGAACACAGGAATTTTGGTCACTAAGTTTGCAGACGACACCAAAGCTGGAGGTGTAGTGGACAGTGAAGATTACCTCCATGTACAACTGAACATTGATCAGATGGAGTTTAATTCAGATAAATGTGAGGAGCTGCATTTGGAAAGGCAAATCAGGGCAGGAATTATATACTTAATGGTAAGGTCCTGAGGAGTGTTGCTGAACAGAGACACTTGCAGTGCAGGTTCATAGTTCCTTGAAATTAGTCGCAGGTAGGCAGGATAGTGAAGGCGGCATTTGGTATTCTTGCCTTTATTGGTCAGAGCATTGAGTATTAAAGTTGAGAGAACATGTTGCCGCTGTATAGGACATTGGTTAGGCCACTTTTAGAATACCGCGTTCAATTCCGGTCTCCCTGCCATAGGAAGGATGTTGTGAAACGTGAAAGGGTTCAGAAAAGATTCATGAATGTTGCCAGGGAGAGGCTGAATAGGATGGGGCTATTTTCCCTGGAGCGTCAGAGGCTGAGGGGTGACCTTATTGAAGTTTATAAAATCATGATGGACATGGATAGGGAATAACCAAGGTTGTTTTCCCAGTTTAGAACAGTCCAAAACTAGAGGGTGTAGGTTTAAGGTGAGAGGGGAAAGATTTAAAAGGGACCTAAGGTGCAACTTTTTCACGCAGAGGGTGGTGCATGTATAGGAATGAGCTGCCAAAGTGGAGGAGGTTGGTACAATTACAACATTTAAAAGGCATCCTGACAGCTATATGAATAGGAAGGGTTTAAGGGATATGGGCCAAAAGCTGGCAAATGGGACTTAGATTAATTTAGGATATCTGTAAGGCATGGACAAGTTGGACCGAAGGATCTATTTCTGCACTGTACATCTCTAAAATGAAGTTGCAGTACTTTTTCTTCTTTCTTCTTCACTGCTACCTCATAGTGGCTCTGTGATTAGCCCTACTGCTTCTCAGCACCAGAAATGTGGGTTCGAATCCAGCAGTTCTGGTCGCTCAGTTATAGGAAAGATATTATTAAGCTGGAGAGGGTTCCAAAGAGATTAACCAGCATGTCGCTGGGTATGGAAGGTTTGAGTTATAAAGAAAGAATGGATAGGCTGAGACTTTCTTTTCCACTGGAGCATAGGAAGTTGAGAGGAAACCTTATGGAAATTTATAAAATAATGAGGGATATAGATAAACTTAATGGTAACTGTTTTTTCCTTAGGATGGGAGGACTTGAAGACTAGGGGGCACATTTTTAAGGTGAGAGGAGAGAGATTTAAAAAAAAACGAGGGGCAATTTCTTTTTATTGTTTTTTTTAAACAGAGGGTGGTTCAGGTTTGGAATGAACTTCTAGAGGAAATGGTGGATACAGGTACAATTACAATGTTTAAAAGACATTTGGATAAGTACATGAGTAGGAAAGGAAGGGTACAGACCTAGATCAGGCAGGTGGGACTAGTTTAGTTTGGGATTATGTTCTGCATGGACTGACTCGACCAAAGGGTCTGTGTTTCCCTACTGTATGACTGTGCAAACTCCACACTGACAGTTGTTCTCCCCACGTCTGTGTGGGTTCCTTAAGTTTCCTCCAACAGTACAAGGATGTGCATGTTAGCCTGGGTAAATGCAGGGTTACGGGGATAGGGTACGTGGCTGGGTCTGGATGGATGCTCTACGGCAGTCGGTGAGACTTGATGGGCTGAATAGCCTCTTTTGCAGTATAGGGATTCTACGATTGAGGCTAGATTTCAACTCCTTTCCATCATATATTCAGCAGTGGGCTTGACTAAGATAGAAGAACATAGCATCATGCTTATTCTAAACAGTTACCTTGAATTTCATGGAACTCAGCTTGTACAGTATCTCGCCCATGTGTTCACGGATAATCGACCATGTAATCTTGTTATCGCTTTGAGCAGTTGACTCGACAGCATGACGAGCCATATCATAGAAACCAATCATATTTGACAGCATACCGACAGTTTTGTAGAATGGGCAAAATCTAAGGGTGTGGGGGAAAAAAAAAAATCAGAATAGCTTTGTCAGAATACAACAGAATACAACATGCTAGTTCAAACTTATTCTGGATTATGCTTTGAAAACTCTATCAAATGAAGTTTAGCAAGTTTATCACAGTCTACAAGCATCATTGCTGAGTGCAATAACACCAAGCTTCTCACCAACACTAGCCACCTCCTCTGACATTCTTCTATTAAATCCATCCACTCATGAGACATTGAAGAATGAGGAAATCATGCATTTCTTTACTGTGTGTAACTCAAGGCTTTAAATTCCAACTTTCCACTGCCCTCAAATCAACACACTTGTCCCAAGTTACTTGACCCCTTTCCCCCACATAACTGTTCTTCTATCACAGCCCCAAAACAAAAACATCACTGAATACATAACTAAATTCTTGAACACTCATGCAAACCCTTGTTCATTGGCATAAACCTGGCTCCCAGCTTCTTTTGAAACTATTTAGATCCCACTCAAAAAAAAAATCCTCAACCATTCCACTGTCCATATGCATTCTCCAGAATAATAAATCTGTAAGAGAGCACTAGGAAGAAGTTATACACTTAATCAGACTGTCTATCTCTTAACATGATGAACGTGACACCTTTATGCTCTACAATTGCTAACTTTCTATTCCCCTCCTCCCAACTACATCAAATCAACAGCTAAAACATTTCCTCTGGCAGCAGGTATAGACTAACTGGTGACCTGAACATATACATACTGCAAACACTTATCTCTTCCAAGTTCTCAAAATGCAATTCATCTCCACGTATGTCACCGTAAGGAGAATTCATTACGGCACTTAAATGAAACAAACTGAGGATGCTGGAAATCTGAAACAAATACTAAAACTGCTGGAGAAACTCAGCAGACCTGGCAACATCTGCAGAGAGACAGCAGAGTTAATGTTTTGGGTCCAGTGACCCTTATTCCATGCCGCCAGACCTGCTGAGTTTCTCCAGCAATTTTGGTTTTTGTTGCATTGTCTATTATTGTTTTTCATAATCTTTGAAGTTACAGTGACATAAAACACAAGACTTTACTGGTTATATATTAAGGTTCATACAGGTTTCATCAACAACACGTTAAGAATCAGGAGAGGAGGACAAATACTGCCACAAAATCAATCTATCATTGTCACTCCCTTAACACAAAATACAGAGTGCATACAAACAGACCATTCAGCCCAGTCAATGCTAATGTTTAAGGTCCACATAAGCCTTCTCCTGTTCGACTTTACATCACCTTCTCAACATATTCTTCCATTCCTTTCTCCCTCACGTTTATCCAGCATCCATTTAAATGCATCTTTTTTATTCATCTCAGCCCATCCCTATGGTAGCAAGTTCCACACTTTCACCACTCTGAGTAAAGAACTGAAGTAGTGTTACATAGGATAAGAAGTGTTTTTCTGAATTCCTTATTTGATATCGTGATGAATATCTTAAAAAAATTGCTGGTCTCTACTTTTGCTCTATCCTACAAGTGGAACCAGTGTGCATCAAATCAAATATTTTCATAACTGTGCAGCAGAAACAGATTCCTGTAAGAAATTAAGTATTAAAAATACTCTAGTTAAACAATTTTCACATCAAAATGGGTATGACAGACTATGTTCTTAGTGAGAGAGGAAAATTATGGGAGAGCATTCACCGGTCATATGGTGTATATCCATTCTGCTGCAAGAAATCATCCTTGATCAATTTTGCCACCTCCAAAGTTATTTTGTCAGTCTCTGCCAGGGATGCCTGTACAAAAATTTGAGATACTTCAAATGAGCAACCAAACTAGATAATCTACCATCACCTCTTATTAGAAGTCCCAGATTTTTATTTTCAACATTATCTGTAGAGTGAAGACATACCAAAGAACCTTGTAACCCACATATGAACAAAGGCTGCACTTGATGATACTGCAACAGAGGGCACAATTCATAGCCATATCCAGTTGCAGTGCCTGTATTAATGAGTACACAGGTAGAATTCAGTCAAGTTAGTAGTTTTTCTAAATTGGTGCTGTTCCAGGGAAAACTGCTGGTTAGGAAGCCAGAGAACTCTTTGCTTTTGCTATCGTGCCATGGAATCTTATGTCCATCTGAAAGTGCATCCAGGGCCTCAGTTTAATTCTCTTGGAACTGCACTGAACTGTTAGCTTAAATTCTGTGTTCAAGAGCTGGATTGGGGAACAGGTGTGAGGCTAACCAAAAGATGCTGTGGGACAAATTAAATATTGGACAAACTTGTACTCTTTTCAATGCTAAATCTCAGCAAAGTTGCAAACTTGAAAAACAACTGCAAGACCACTAGGGAAAGAAAATGCGAGTTGCAAATATACAGCAACAAGTTAACTTAGTCAACACAGTGTGAAGCTGGAGGAGCATAGCAGGCAAGTTGACATGTCGGGTTGGGACCCTTCTCGAAGTTAACTTAGTTGACTACAAATTATTATATAGTGCTTTTAACATAAGAAAAAGTACAAAGTAAGATATTCCAAAGAACTTTGCAGGAGTGCTAGATAAAATGGAGCAAAATATGGATCCATTAGGCTAGGTGACCAAAAGGTAGGTTTCTAAGAAGCATTTTAAAGTAGACAGAGAGAAATTTAGACTAAAAAAGTGAGTTTTAGAGGTTAGGGCCAAGGTAGCTCCTGTAGTCTGTTGCATGAATAAGTTCGTCCATCTAAACTCTATAGGAACTTGCGTTTGAAAGACTTTAGCAGTGAAATAGGTAGCTATACTTCTGGCATCTGCATTTTGTCTGGTGCCTGTTCCAATCTGGTCAGCTGCACGTGGAAAAGATTTGAACAATGCAATGCTTTCCACTAACAATGAGGCACACAAAAATTAAAAGCAGTGTACTCACTTTTCCAACAAGCTGGACAATTTCTGCTAGGTCCTCCTCTTCCTGCAGGATCTCTTTAGCTTTGGTCCTCAATGGCACAAATTCAGTGAAGTGCTTGTCATAGTATTCATCCAGAGCACGGGTGTACTTACTGTAACTGATCAACCAGTTGACTGAGGGAAAGTGCTTGCGCTGTGCCAACTTCTTGTCCAACCCCCAAAACACCTAGGTTAAAGAGAGAAGAAAGTTAGTTATCAAAATGTCTCAGTTCCTTTATATGAAGACGGCGACAACTCTCCTCTCAGTCTTAACTTGCACTGCCTCATCTTTAATTTTCTTCAGTAATGCAGTCACCTCTGCCCAAACTCTTCGTTCCTCTGAAGTGTGGGTGTAGGGGTGGGCACCTGAAGAAATAGGGTGCAAGGTAGGAAAGATGGGAAGAACAGAGTGGATGGGAGGAGACAGGGAGCACACAGGCAACAGCAAAGAGGCTGGGGAAGGAGTAACAATGTGAAAATAGAGGGGCAGTAATAGAAGCAGATATGAGAAAGCAGCCAGTGCTTTTTCTCCCAAATGCATCTCGTTGCCATCTGGTGGCGAGACTGCAGATAGACTGGAAGGATAGATTGCAGTTCTCCCAATTTACTGGACTGCTCACATACTCTTACTGTTAGACTTCTCCAAGTGACAGCCCTACCAGCATGGGCTCTGCAGTAGGACTTGAACAAACAACCTTTTGACTCAGAGGGGGTGCAACTGAGTCATTGCAGAAGATAACACCTATAAAGGGAGAAGAAACAAAATACTGTGGATCCTGGACAGCTGAAATAAAAACAAAGTGGAGAAAGTCAGAAGGTTATGTTTCGAGTCTAAGACAACTCTTCAGGAATTAAACTGAGTTCCAAAGCATAGCCATGTTGGACTCAAAACGCCAGGTCTCACTAGGGAAGTAGCAGTACAACAGAATCAATCTCAGATCTTCCAATTTCCCTACTTCAGGACTTTACAGAATTTAACTCCGGCAAGGAGCGAAATTGAGATCATGCTGGATCTCAAACCAGATGTCCAGCCAACTGAGCTAAATGACCCCCCAAATCCAGATAAGGTCAGTCCTATTGAACCAATATTTCACTGAAAGTGAAAACTTTCATATTTGTTCATAGGATGCAGGCATTGCTGGCTACACCACGATTACTCATTCCTAGTTGACCAAAGGGCAGTTAAGAGTCAAGCACAAAGTTAAAGGGTATGTAGGCCAGCAAGGATGGCAATTTCCTCCCTAAAGGGCATAAGTGAATCAGATGGGATTTTATGACAATTGGTAGAGGTAACAGACCACATTTGTATTAAATTCAAATTGCTCCATCTGCTACGGTGAGTTTCAAACCCATGTTGCCAGATTCCGAGTGCTGGGTTACTAGACCTCTACCCAACCACTTCCCTCATATTGTGGCTTGAAATCCAGATTAAAACAAAAAGAGCATGAGGACAAGGGGCCAGAACCCAGTCTGCAAATTCTCCCGGTCTAGAAATGTTATTGGGAAAACGGCTAGGGGCCCCATCTGGGCCAAACACACACACTGTAAATGGCTGAGGTGACTTGAAACTATATGCCTGGTAGATGTTGGCCCTGCTACATGTTGGCAGTCGCATCTCTTGTTTCTGTGTTTGGCCAGGTGCTTTGAGATTGTCCCCTCTCCTTCGGCTGTGCACTGCTTCAATAATCGAAGTTATTCTGGTACAAACCATTTTTACTTTACTCATTCACATGTAGAAATGGACCAAAGTAAAATGGATGAACAAGGATTTAAAATAGATTGTTTCTCCAAGTCACTGTGCCTGGTTTAAGCTGCTGGTTACCTCATGATGCCACAAAGTAAAGTGGTAAGATTACAGTGAAGCAAATGCACAGAAGGATTTCAGTAATGCTTACACGTGGTATTCAAATAGTTTAGTTGTACAGAACTTCAGTATTGCAGAAAAAATACATTTTGTTGATTTTTTTTTAAACATGATAAGTAGAAGACAAAACAATGTCTTTTTTCAGCAATATTCAAATTTGGTGTTCTTGTTTAACAGGTTGTAATTCGTGGAGTGCCACAGCTCCAGGCACTGCAATGTCAGCTATTCACCCAAGTCATTAGTAAAGTTGTAATGTGAACGAGACTAATGTTGCTAAGTTTTTCAATGATACAAAGATAGGTGAAAACGTAAATTGAGAACAGAAAGGTTGCAAGGAGATACAAACATGTCAAATGAGTTATTAACAAGATAGCAGATGGCATAATATGGAATAGAGTGAGGTTAATAATCTTAAGCACAAGAACAGAAAAGCAGTTTTTCTTTAAAAATGCTCAACTTATGAATGTTGATGTTCAGAATGACTTGGGTGTGTTTGCACCAGGAACAAAGATAGCATGTAGGCACAGTGCATAATTTGTAAGGCAAATTGCACATTAGCCTTTAGTGCAAGGGAACTGGAATAGAGGAGTAAGTTTGGCTACAATTTTACAGG